CTATGCCCTACCAGCATAGAATAATGCCTCCAAAACCGGTTTCATTAAATTACAAAATTTTTCAGAACAATTTTCTAATTAAAATTAACAGGGCCTACTAGTTTTCCGTAAAATTAACAGGGCCTCCTAGTTTTCTCCGTAACTTTACAGGGACCGTAAGCTTTAGGACTTGGCAACCTTCATGAAAAAACTTAATAGCAATTTCTACAATAATTTTAAGCAGCAACGAGGCAATAAATTACTCAGATAATTTTAAATATGAGTTACTCGAAATATACATTAAGCGAAGTCACATTTTGCTAGGAATTCCACAAAATACTTCTATCCCTTCTATCTTCTCAATACTCTTGCTGCTTTAAAATTAACATCTGGACCAAGAACATTCTTAGCAGAACAAAATTCAAGCAGCTATGAGGGGGTAGTACTTGGGATGGTGACCACTCACGTGACTGACACATGTGAATCAGAGCTAATACAGGGCCCCTGCATTACAAGTTTCACATCTACACTGGATGACGTAGCAGTATCTAAATAACTTATTTCATTTTCCAATTCTTAGCGTATTCTCGTATTCTTAGCCCTCGTAAGAAACATTAATTGTATTTCATGTTTCTTTCCGCGCTCTGTTCTGTGTGTTTCCTACTTTCCAATTCTCACTACACTTACCGTTTGTGCAATATATGTCATAATGCACATAATTAATATAAACTGGTCTAGGCCAGCCTTTTACTCTTGTTATCTGCGATTCCTCGTAATGGTCTGTTCTAAGAAGTAAAGTATACGAAGTCTCTACAGGGGACTCAGTTTGTCATTTCTAAAAGTCGCAGCAGTTGTGATAATCTCTGTTAGCTTCATATACAAGTCACAGTGTGAGATTACTGCAGAGGTGGATTCAGGTCACAAATATTTTGTAACGAAAATGTGATTATGTGTTGTGGATGAAACGTGTCGGTAACTATGTGTGTTTATATAGGTTCACTAACGTCCTTAATGAGAAACGATTGTAATACATAAAACAGAGAACAGATAAAATTATCCTAATTAAATAATGCTCTTTTAGAATTTAAGAGAACAGCAGTATCAGGTATGGATTTCCTATTCTGATTATCACCACCTATACCACCACAGACATAGATTTGTGTCAGAAAAGATTGCATGTTTTTTACCCATATAGGGACTGCTGGTAATTTATTACGCGAATTATCGTCATTTGGCTTAGGGATTTTTCTATCGCTAAAATTTGATTGATATCATTAACCATATGTACTTACTTACTAGAAATACAAATTATACTTGCAGATAGCATTGTTATTTTAATTTTTTCAATGTTCACAAAAACTTAGAGACAGACATCATTTCGGAAATTTTATTTAATAAATAAAAGTTCAGCTTCTTCATTGTTTTGAGTTTAAACATCGAATCTCCTTACATGTATTATGTGTTTGTACACACAAAAATAACACAGCTTAAAAAATGAGTACATTCTGGAGAAGATGATAATTAGCAATAAAAGGCGAAGATTTACATTAAGTTTCCATTGAAACAGACAACATCTAAATCATCATTTGGGATGATTATTTTAATTTCTTAACCAGTTACACATTTTAAGATAAATCATTTCTTCTTCACTTTCATCACAAAAATTCGTCTATTCGAAAAATTTATGCAAATCTCAAATATACTTAAGTGAGGTTAAAAATCGCGGCTTCTGCACTCGTGATGCTGTCCATTCACAGGCAGTTGCTGATGTTGATTAAAGTCTCATTGAAGAAGTGAGGTTGGTCGTAATCTTTCACTGGCAGTGACTTTTGAAATCCCGATTAGAGATAAGTTAACGCTATTTTGACTAGAAAAATTCAAATTACCTATTTTTGTCGACTTTTGTACAATGCAAATTACGTTATTGTGGATTTGTATCGTAAATAACAAGACTTAACATTATGTATATGTAGTATATATGCGCCATTAAAAATTTCTGGTTATTTAATGTTTGTAATTTAGTAAATTCTTTTTTCTTCCGTAGCTATAACTCGTTGAGGTACTTTTTGTTAGCCTCTACACTAGAATAACAATATCAAAGAGACTTAAGTACAGAGCTGCACATTCAACTTTTTCTGAAAATTCTATAATTAGCGCATTTTTACGAAATGTTACAGCTTGAAAATCGCTGATATAATCCTTACCTAAGCTTCTTGCTCCAAAGAAGTACAACAAACAATATATAACGAGTGCAAATAAATAAAAAATTCATTGCTTGATGTTGTTTGGAAATAAAAATTCGGCCCATTTTACCAAAGAATTTTAAGACTAATGTTACCACTTTATAGAGACAGCAACAGTAATCAATAATGCACACACACAACGTTTACAAGAAGAAAAGCTTGGAAAGGAAATGCACTTATGCATGCCCTGAAAGAAAAAAGAAAAAAAATAGAAAATGCTCCGATGGATAATAAGAATTACTAAATTCATACTTTTCTCTTCTTGACTGCAAAATTCATTTGGATATATAATTTCCAGATATATAAAATATTAAATTAATCTTTTGGATTGCGCTGAACTGTGAAAAGATCAATCGTTGCATTACGATGAGAGCCTTTTTCTTGCACTCAAATGTGCTCTAATTCAGTAAAAGAGACTATACTGTTTTTACAAGTGCATTTTCTTGTTTTTACAGAAATATCTGAGAATAAAGCTGTTCATTTAGAACTTTTCAGTACGCATTGCATCACCCGATTTGAATAGTTTATAAACAAAACAAAACAAAAATTGCCTGTTTTGGAGATTAATGCATCCTTACTGGATAAAATAGCACGCGGTATTAAATTTGTAGCTGGCTGAATGAAAGTATTGAATATATTTTAAATTTTCTTGTTTTTACAGAAATATCTGAGAATAAAGCTGTTCATTTAGAACTTTTCAGTACGCATTGCATCACCCAATTTGAATAGTTTACAAACAAAACAAAACAAAAATTGCCTGTTTTGGAGATTAATGCATCCTTACTGGATAAAATAGCACGCGGTATTAAATTTGTAGCTGGCTGAATGAAAGTATTGAATATATTTTAAATCTGATCGACACTATTGTACTTTTATGGGGTGTTTCTTGTGGTGCAAACGACTGTCTAATCCAAATTGTAGCATGTAGCCACAATACAACGCTGTGGAAGTTCGAACTTATCGAAAGCGTGGGGCGCCTGTAAAAATGATGAGGAAACAGGCCTTGGAACAAAGGATGATCGTTTAGAGATACAGTACGTCAAGCTTCCAGAGTTTGAGGAAATTTTGACGTCATTATGGAGAGAAATGTCTGCCACGTATAAGTGAGTTTCTTCACGTTGTTTCATTACCATGATACAGATTTAACTCTCAGTGTTGGCCAGTATCGTCATAGATGTTCAAGAATGACTACGAAAGCGATCAATTACCTTTTTCAAAGAAGGATAGCATATAATTTAGAAAGCTAAGAAAGATGCGTTATAGAGCAAGATAGATTACTTCGATTATCAAGAGATTTCACTTTTTCAGTCATTCCATTTGTTTGGGTGGCATATATAAAGGTCCTAATACTAAGATTATTTCTCACGAAACTGTTAATTACTACTGATGATTAATTGCCTTTTAATTACTGTTTGTGGTTAGAGAGTATGATAATAAGACTTCCAGTTGTGGAGCTGGTACGGGTTAAAAACAGCATGAGTAAACCTAAGACTTCCAGCCATGGAACAGAAAAGAATAAGAGACGAGATAGTTTTCGCAACGTATTTCCCCAAAGCAGAGCTGCAAAGAAATAGCGGCACAGAGAAGATAGGAAGAATTTTTCTAAAGACATATGGAAACAATCTTTTTTTCGACAAAACTTGGAAGAATTAGTTCCAAATCTTATTTCTTTATTCAAGTCCTTCATCTTCCTTGTAACTCGTTACCAATGTCATTGCAAACTGACAGCATTATCAGTTATGTTTTAAGGTATGTGCCTACATACGAAGCACTTTTTTTAAACACATAAAATTTTATTTAAACACACATGTTTTTGAGTAAGATGAGATATAAAACTATGAATTTAAATGGAATTTTATAGAACTTTTCATTAATTTTTCAAATATAGGCAATATTTAGTAAAATTTTAGTGAAAATTTTCATTTACGCCAGATCTCCTAAAATAAATTCTAATGAATATACTTCAATAATCTTTACAAAGTATATAAATAACATACTTACCTGTGTTCTGTAGCAAGAGATTTGCAGTACTTATAAAATGTTTTGAAATATTCAAAACTTGGTACAAAAACTCAAAATTAAAACAAAAAAATCCTCTTTTCTTCAAAATACTGTCAATAAAATAAATAAATAAATACAAAGAGGTCAGATTTTGCTACAGAACACAGATAAAGATAAATAAAACATTTTGGCAAAATTTCATTTCAATATTCTAAATACATTTTGAGAAATTAACGTAATCGCAATCAAAAGTAACGAAAAACAGAATTTCTCAGAAAATGCATTTAAAGATTTTAATACAGCACAAAAAATTTTGTAGTCACTTTAGACCTTTAAAACGCATTTGTATGTTAGGTTCTCTTTTACTTCATTCTTAACTAATTTTGACTTTCTTTTAGCACTTTTTGGTTAACTTTGTTGCTTGTAGAGATTGGCGTTTCTATTTCTGAATTCGCCGTTTGTCTATTCCCATGTAGTTTTCAAGCATAATGGGATTAATTTCTATTTCTATATACCTGAAAATAAGTAAAAGTCCTAAATATCTTGAATTAAATAATAATACAGCAATATGTGCACCTAAAAGCAAAGTTTTCAGTTGGACAAGAGTTTCTTTAGGTAAAATATACCTCAAAAGGTTATTAAAACACTCATTATTGTTTTGAGTCTTCCCATGTAGGCATTTTATCAGCAAAGTGTCACACAGTGAAAGATGTGTTGGTTTTACAGCTTTTATATTGTTTAATAATTAGGAAATAGTTGTTTAAACTTATTGTTTACATTTTTACGACCATTTAAATGCAAACTTCCGGCATCCAAAAATTCACTTTCGGTTTACTTTTTATACTATAACTTTGCTTCTATTTATCGTAAAAACAAAAATAAAGCATTTCTGGAAACCTATACTCGTATATGGCCTATCAAATGAATAAATAAAAAAAAATTCGAAAATTTTCACCAAAACGACGAATTTAGGGTAGGCACATACCTTAATAAAGCTGTACCTTCTTCCCAACCAGACTATAGCCAACAATAACATTTTACTGGTTATTTGTACTGATGTTTTTTTGTTTAAAGATCATGAAAGAAGCTTTCATCTTTATCCGATCAAATTTTAGAATGAAGCTCATAAAGAACACCAGTTTTCCCCAGAACGATATGTTCAAGGTTATATATTCTATTCAACGAGATGAAACTGCGCGCTGCGCAATAAACAAACACCTAATGAAAGAAATGTGAATTGGTCCGGTGAATGTAAAGTATTTTGGAGATCTCAGTAAAAAGGTTCCCGAAAATCCTTGAGCAGACAAACAAAACATATAGTCCTTTTGCATACAGAAATAACAATAAATCTCATCTACAGCAGACTCTCACTCTGCAGCTGACGCTCGGTAGGAGTAGCCCAGTCCTCCTGGTCGTTTCTGAGGTTGGGTATTGCTTGCAGGACGAGGGGCATGTCTCCATTCTTCCGGATCTCCTTCCGTTCTAAAAATATATGAAAAGTTTGATTTTAGTTGATTTGTCACAAAGGGAAATAATGCCATAAATCAGCGATTCTTACCTTTGATGAATCTCCGTATTCCCTTCACATAAGGAGCATTTTACACATCCCTAACCATTTATTTCATGCTTTTGCTTGATAATACTGAAATATTTTCATGCATATAAGCTATTTTTATTTCTTGATAGAAATAATTAGAATCTTCTGTTTAACTTATAATATTTTGCAAAAAATCAGCTATGCCAAAACCATAAAATGTACTTTTAACATCTTTCATGAAAATAAGATATATTTTAAGCTGTTTAGTTTTATGTGCCTTCCCCATATAAATGTATGTATGTGGGGAGGAATGTTAAAATCATAACACATAAATGTAAAGGTATGCGATATCTGGTTTGATGCTTGAAATATTCAAGGCCTTTCCAGACCTTTTAAGGATCCCAATAAGTGCCTAAAAGTCTTTGATGGCCCAAATACTTCTAGATTGAAGCATAAAATATAATTACTTGCAAGATAAAATGTCTCTTGATGCCTTATGCCTGGTCCTTTTTTTTAATTCTGTTCTATTAGTTATCCCTAAGGTTAGCCTTCATCTGGGTGAATGCGTAAATGTGATTCAACGTCTAACTGATTTCACTGCTTCAATTTATGAGCTCAAAGTTTAAAAAATAGTTCTGCTCAAGAGAAGTTGTAAGGTATTTTCTCTTTCCTTATCACTTATCTTCATGGTATAACTGCAAGCACGTCCGCTGGCAGTCAGGCAGACCGGAATTCGAATTCAAGAAGAAAGCATTGCGGATTTCTCATCTTTCCTGCTTCGAAATATTTTAATAGGTTCTACAGTAGCGGCTGAACTAAAATGTAGTCGATGATAATTCTTCACCATGAGAATTTTGTGACTGGGTTCCCATCTCCCAGTTGCCCTTAAAGTTGGGAAAATTGTACGATATTTTCTCGCTCCCTACCGCGTGCCTTCGTATTATAACTAAAAGGCAAATCCGGCTGGCAATGAGAAGGTCAGGGGCTCGATTTTCCCTGAGATCACTGCACAGTTTTCATATCTCTTGCTACAACATAGAGCTAATAACTGTACAAAGTAATTACTTGAACGCTTCCTTCTGCCAGATCTGTGTATATAGTGTTCATGTACAACCGAAAGGTAAGGAAGTTATGTTGCTTAAAAGGAAGTTTCATTGAACTTTAGTATCCTCTTGCTATCTATGGCACTGATCCTGGCAAGGTAATAAATAAATCTTTACTTTTAAAAGTCCCTCGCAAGTGCATCGATACTCACGGATCATAGTTTAAAACTCGTTGTTCTGGATAAATAGTTCCTGAAATACTAGCTAGTATATTGTCCGCTGATAAGCGCAACAGTTATTAAAGGGAACTAGAAGAAAAGGGGCAAGAATAAGGCCGTATTATTTATATAATTTGTATAAGGCATTTTTGAAATACACTTATTTATTATTTAAGGAGAAGATATACACATGTATTTCAGACACTGGTTCATAATTTGGTTTTAAAAATCCTTCAGTTAAAACGCTGTTCTAAAGTGTCTGTAAAAGAAACACGATCTTTGGCTGCCTGATTTCCCTCTAACACTGCATTATTATAAAACACCTTGTAGAGGTTATTTTAATTTTCTAATAGTTACTATTAATTATTTGAACAGCTTTCCTTATTTTCCATCTACAATTCCATGCCAGAATGATTTTCAGGATCGCGTTCTATGTAAAAGAGGTAGAACCAGTATACGAGGGGAATGTATTGGTCACTTCTGTAGAAGAGCCTAAAAGTTCTTAGTAGAGTGTGTTCTGCCTTCTGGCTACGTCATTGCTTTAAGACAAATCTTACTATGTTCAGCTGTATTATTACGTGCCTGCTAGTATTCGCTGGTAAGCTTTAAATAAGAGCCAACTCTGTTAGTTGTTTCTGTGCAGCCTCGGATAGTTTTTAGTTAGATATCATTAGATTAGTTCTTATCTTCTATCCTAAGTTAATGTCCAAACAGAGGCTACATGTAAGCCCAAGAGGGGCCAATTGTAAATATTCTTGGGTAAACCAAAAGGGTAATTTAACCCTTCTTTGGACTTATTCTTACTGCCTTAGATATAAGTGATTAGTCGCTACACACTTCTCAAGTATTCTAGTTTACATACATTGTTTGGAAACTAGTGACAAAATAGGAACTAAATTTTTGAATAATAGTCATATCTCTGAAGTACCTTTATTTGCTGCAAGAACCGATGCTTGATTCGCAACGCACAATTTTTGAAAAGGGAGCGTGCCTCATCGGAGAAATCGAATACTGACAATATAATGTCATTCCAGCAAATCATTTATACAAGTTAAACTTAACTTTATTAAAAGTTACATACACAAATATTTAAATACTGTGTTACATACAAAAGTTACATACTCTGTGCATACATAAACACATTTTATTATGATTTCTGGAATTACATAAAGACATTTTATTATATGTCTTATTATATCAGTAAATATCCTCCATCCTGTAATATTTTAAATTATAACTTTTTTACATTTTCCTATCTTCTACTCCCCGAATTAAGATTTCAAAACACAAAGAGCCATTTAATGAAAAAGAGAAAAATGCTTGTTAAAAAGAAGTACCATGAATAATTTATTAGTGTTAAAGTTGGGTGTGAAAAGGCCTGAAATTCATTAGTATGACATTAAAGGCGAAGTGTCCGCATTTAAAATTTATTAGAACTTGTGGTAACTGGTGTTTAACTATTATGGTCTAGGTCACGGAAACCCGCAACGTTGAACTTAAATGTATTCATTAATAATCTGTAAAAAGCTTAATAGGTATCAAAATACTTGATTATTAGATTAATAATGAGGTATTATAAGCATCAAAGCTGTACTGAGTTATTCACTGGCTCTTAAGCGAAAGTACAGTTAGTTGTCTTCATTGTTTATAGACAGATGTTTTCCTAATGCCAAGTTTTTTATAGTTCTCTAGTTAAGAGTTTCATAGTGTTTTGTATCTTTAACCTATCTGGTACGTTCTGCAGTCTAAGTTAGCCAAGCCCCTTTAATTTTCTGCTGTATCTAAACTTTATGATTCGTTGTGGTTAAAGACAATATCAGAGATGTTGCGGAATTATTGGCATGTGATTCCCTTGAAGTCAAGCTGCTTTGATGACTGTCACGTTACAGGCCGTTTGTGCTTCTTTGACACTGGTCCTGAAGTTTTTAACGCAAAGTAGACGCATTACTGAGGAAGTTATTACTCTGCTGCTTCAGAGTATGTCGTTTTATATCCCTTAGCAGTTCAACTATTCAGCGTCCGCCTTTAGACTGAAACTTATATGATCATTGCTATCTTTACATGGATCAACCGCATCGAGCTAACACAGGATCGCATATGCTGGTGATCATTGACATGACAAAGACTTCAAAACCCGTGGAGAAAATCATGAAAGTGTTACATACGTCACAATGTTCGCCGTCTCGCTTCACAGTACAACAAAGGGCCTACTAAGCATGCTCATACATAGGAGCCGTATTCCACCAAAGTAATAATTACATCAACGTATAAATGATCACAAACTTCCCTCAACAGACTCATCGCCAGAGTTAGTTGCATCTTCTAGTATCACATTTAGCGATAGGACTACAAAGCGGCTTGATGAATAACCCGCACTGTTACTAGGTAAACAGATCCAAATATCGACTTCCAAGGGCTTATCAACTAAGTGGATTTTTACCTTGGCGAAGCAATGTTTGGTTTCAAGCCGGAAACCTCAGTTCTCTCCCCGAACATCTTCAAGGATACCGGGACAGCGATGGCACAATTCTGACCCTCACTAAGAGATGGCGCTACTACAATCTGTTATTTTCATCTTATTACAAATAGTAAGCATTGTGATATCATTGTTTTTGGGTTCCTATCGAATGAAGTCCTTGTCTTCTTTCAAGAAAGGAATATTTTACACTCCATCCGAATTTACAAAAACATTATTGGAGTTAAACATCATCGCGGAGGATACATAGAGATCACAGTACGTTCTTCAGTATAATTATTCTTTAAAAAAAATTTTACACATTATTTATTTGTTTTTTAACATTTATTTACATTTTTCATATGAAATTTAAAGTATTTTTTTTTATTTCAGTTAAAATTTCATTATTTAACCGCGCTTCTGTAACCGTTTTCTTTTATCTGCACGAGTTTTATACTCTTCTCTATCTCCTCTCCCCTTTCTGTGTGTGTTTAATTTGCTTTGTTCTAATCTAACCACTTCCATTTAAATACTCAATTTATGCACAATTCATGAATGATGTACTAATGCACACATTAAGATCACGCACAATTCGTGTTTATGAGATTTAAATAGCAGGTATTATTTTCAACCGATCCTAGCTAAGCGAAATAAATTCGAGAAGATTTCAGATAAAACATGAGCCTTCAATTTTCTGATGAAATTTTCTTTTACCATGTCCACTTACGTGACTGCTGGCCGTATCTTAATGTGTTTACACTGCGCTTCCGATGAAGAAGGGGCTTCCGTGACCTGCAACAAGAAGACGGCTTATTTCTGCGGAAACAATATTTAACCGATCACTCACGATTCTTCTCAACCACAGGCGAATATATCTATTTTCCAAATCCCCTTTTTCTTTATGCTGTTGCATGAACCAGAAGAAGGATCGAAAAGACGAAATGATATCTGGGAAATTTTATGAAGACGGTTTACTTAAGACATGTAAATAAAATTATGTATATCTTGGACAAATAAGAGGTTCTCCTCTCTACCGCACTTTCTGTTTCCTCCCCCCCCCAATCGTACTTTTTTTTTTTTAGTATCTATGGTTTTAGCCCATTCTCACATCCCCTCTTTTTCAGAGTTAGCCGAATACATGCATGCTAAGATTAAACACTGTACTGAGCAAAAACAGGTTTAACATGGCGAAATAATGAAGTGCAAATTTACATGGTGCGATTTGAATT